CCCCCACTACAAAGCCAGTAAGATCCCAATAGTTAAACCACGATAACCTGCGGGGAAGGCTCCCTCCCACCGCGATCCATATGTTTCCCTATTCCTTCAAACCGTCCTATAAAAAGTAGCTGCCATTACCCGTTTTCTCGCAACCCTATCCCCATACCCACGCATACCCCACGACACGTACACAAAATCTACCATTAAATATGCCAATGCTCGTTGTGTACTCTCTGGCACCCCTCCCACATCCAAAACAAGCGCACTCAACACTGGTATGCCCCCCCTCCCACTAGCCTCACTATCCTACTCATCCAATCCCTAACATTCCCCAAACATTCCCAAAAATACACCGCATGATATGCCGTATCCTCTCCACCACACACTCCACACCCACTCTCCTCTACTATTCGCCTCGCCCTCAGAACCGCTCCTGATGGCAAAATGCCATGCAGGAAACGGAACATAACCTCCCGCACCTGAGGTCTGAGCTTCAACTTACGAAAACGACACCAAATATCTCCCCATCCATACATGGGGTATATTCCCTCCACCGGCACCACCACCCGGCTCCCAATTACTCTCGCCAAAACCCCTATGCGAATCTTGCCAGGCTCCCATAGGACCATAAGGGTACACAGCACCTCCTCACATTCCCTCAACTCTGCACCCACATACCACCTCTGCACTCCCTCATACAGAAGCTTTAACCCCCCCACACCCGACTCGTACATACTCCCTTCATAAGAAAACACATTTTACCCAACGCCATAGATCCAATAACCCTAACCCCCCCCGACGTACCGGCAGCATTACCACCTCCCTCCTCAGCCAATCACACCCAGAACCCCATATAAACCTAAACACCTGCTTTAAGATTCTCGTAATTCCTTGTCCCGTTAAGGGGTAAACTGCCGCCACATGCCAAACCTTAGTGTATAGTAACGTGTTTACCACGATGGCCCTCTGCAACAATGTCAAATGATATGGGCACAAACTCCCCAATCTATGCTGCACCCATTCCACAATACGCTCTGAGTTCCTCTCTCTCGACCGCACTTGATTCTCCATAAACACTATTCCACATATCTTTAAGCTATCCACCACCCTCCACTTCACACCAGCATCCCAATCCCCCTGCCAGTTTCAATTTCCCAACTTTAATAAGCATGATTTCTCCACATTAACCCTCATCCCTGTAGCCTCCCCAAACATACGAATGACCTCTCCCACCTCTCTCAAACTATTTCCCTCCTGCACAAGTACCGTCGTGTCGTCGACATATCGTACGATCCCCGGCCCACACGCCACCTCCCCTGCCCCCACCCCCCCACAGATACGTGCCTCAATGAGTCTGTAAAATGGGTCTTGAACACAGGCAAACAGGATTTGAGATAGTGGACATCCTTGCCTGAGGCCCCGCCCCATACACATGGCTTCTCCTATGCGACCATTAATTTGTACATGCACCTGCGCCCCTCGGTCATATGCTCCCTGCCAATCCAAAGCAAGTAAGCACCAGCCTTTCCCCCAAACCCTCTACAAACCCCTTAAGACGTCTGTGGCCCTCGACCATAGATCTGCCAGGTAACCCATATTGCCCTCCAGATACGACATGCCCCACGACACATTTCAGGCGATTTCCCAGTATTTTCACAAACAATTTATAATCTGCACAAAGTAAAGATATCGCCCGATAATCCTTGAGGGTATTCTGAACCTCTCCCTTCAGGACCAGAACAACCACTGCTGTGGCTTTCAACTCCCCCAACACCCCTTTCTCCTTCATGATATTCATCAACTCCACTAGGAATCCACTCATTAACTTCCAATTCAGCAGGTAAAATTCACAGGGTAATCCATCAATCCCTTTAGTCTTTCCTGTATGCATACTCGCTAATGCCCGCCAAACCTCACCCTCATCTATCTCCCCACCCAGCGCTACTTGATCACTATGCCCCAATGAACATGGCACTAGCTCGCAGACGCTATGCAATGCTGCATCTCCCACACCACTACATCCCAATTACTGCTCATACCATGCATCTGCATAACCACTCATCTCCTCAGTCGTCCTGAACACTTGCCCCTCACGATAATCCCCCACTTCAGAGTGGACGATTAACCTACCAACCTCAGTGGCCGTCCGACGTCGCTGCTGACCTCGTAAAACACATGCCGACGGTCGATCGCCACATAACACCTCCTCAACCCCCCCCCTGCATATGCACCGCATTAAACAGTTCATTTTGCAGCTCTCAAATCCTTCCCTTCAACGTTTCCATCTCCTCTACAGGATATGCTCCCCCTTGTCCACCTCTCCCATAGCAATCCCTCAACCTACACTATGTACTGAAGGAGCCCATATGATTGTTGCATTATGCGTTTCCCCTCCCTCACATAAAACTTACATATTCGTACCTGAGCCACCCCGTCCCACCACCCCAGTAAATCCTCTATGCCCTGCCTTTCCTCACTGAGCTCTGCCCACAACGTCTCAAATCCTCCCTGCCCCTCATCACCCAGGATCCTCGTGTTTAGTTTCCAATAACTCTTACACCTCCTGGCCAGCCCATCCCACCCTAGGTCTACCACAACTGCCCTGTGATCTGAATATTCCACCTCCATCATACAGAAGGACTCCACTCTTACCCGCTTTGTGATGTACACCCGATCTAGCCTCGCCGCATATCCATGTCTCACAAAAGTGTGCTCCACCTCCCAAGCCCCACCCCCAAATACGTCACGTAGACACACATCTCTCATAAGATCACCTAGGATAGTTGAAAAATGCCCTGCACCATGCGGCTCAACGTCTGCCCTGCGAATAACACAATTCCAATCCCCTCCCACAATAGCAACAGATGGTAAAGAACGGAAAGAATAAATGAGCTCATCCCTCACAAAATCTGCTTTCAGACGTACATCACTCTCTGCGGGTGCATACACACACACACTAAAGCCACTCGCTCTCCCATCCACCATCCATCCACTCTGATAATAAGGCCCTCGCCCCCCCTTCACTTCTACTAACCACAAATGGGCTTGCCTCCCGGAGAAGGACTCCCACCCCTCCCATCAAGCATCCTGTCTGCATCACAAAAGCCCTATATCTATTCACCTCCAATACACACCCTACCTTGATATTGTGCTCTTGCACAAATACAACATCCACTCTATGCTGGCACAAGAAACTTGCAAACCACGCACACTTCACATCCTGACACAAACCATTAATGTTAACTGTCATACACCTTAGGCCAGCGGTGGTTTCTTCCCTCTGTGCTTTGACACCTTCCTCACAATGCCACCATGCCCTTTCGGACCTCCTTTATGCATGTCTCTACTGGCAGCCTTAACTCCCCCGGTCCAGCTCCGGGTCCAAAGTCCTGGAGGGACCACCAACATCCTCCTCCACCACCACCACCTTGCCAGTCCTCTGTGCTGGAGTCAGGACATCATCAGAATCAGATGTCACAGCCTCACGCTTGCACGTGACTCCACCTGTTCCCATCCTTACCTCCTGTGATACCTCACTGTGAACCTCCACATCCACCACATGTCCAACCTTCCCACCCTCTGGGCACATAGCCCCGTGAGACACCACCAAGTCGATGGGCTCATTTTGCTGTCCACACAGGTCTGCAGCATTCCTCACATCGGCTTTCGTCACCGACTCGCCCTCCCCATCGGACTGGGGAAACAGCGAGGTGAGCACAGTCTCTAGGACCTCGTCGATGGCTTCCTCCGCCGAAACATGCCGGCCCCACACCATCAGGCAAAATGGGTCTCACAGGGCCCCCAGCCACAGGGGCCGTCAGGTGCCCACCCGCCACTGCCTCCGCTTGCTCCACCTCCTCACCCCACAGACAACCAGGCCTACGTCCTTCCTGTAGCTCCAGAGCACTTCCAACTTGCTCAGATTCCCCTGCAGCAGTACATTCTACACCATGAAGTCGAGTCTGTTGTTCACAATATGCAACAATGCGATCATAACCACCACAACGCCTTCAGGTCCTGCATTGCCCAGTATAGGACATCATGAGCTGAGTCCTGAAGGCCTCCAATATAACATATGATGGTATGGGGTGTCGTATCGTCATTTTCAGTGAAAACGTGCCCTCTGGGAATCCCACATATGCACCTTCTACCCACTTGTCAGGCTGTGCCAGGTGAACGGTCCTGTAGTCCTTGAAAACATTGCGTATGTCCGTTTCATCAGCCTCAAACGGTACATTTCGCACTCTAACCCATGTGTAATGCCTGGAGACGTCATGAAGGCGGACACTCACCATAGAATTGACGTCCACTCGCACATCCTGGTATTTCTCGACCAGCCTCTCGTTGACGCCGGTGTTCAACAACCTAACAAACACCCTGTATGCACCATAAAGTGCTACACCGTACAATTCTTCATCCTGAATACCATACATATCCCGGATGATTAATGGCAACAGCACAGGAGCAGCTGCAGTGAAATCGCCTTGCGAACCAGCTGGATGCCCACAGTATTTACCCTCCTCCTTACACTCTGAGCCATATTGGAAAAAACAGGAAGTCTTCCAATCGCCGAGAGAGGGCAGCAGGCGTACGTCTGCTCACACCAACAGACGAGCAGAGAATGATAAGAGAAATTTCATTCAGTGCAAAGTTAACCCCCTTTTTTCTGCAAGTTACAAAGTTGAACAATGAACAGGAAAAAAATAATGATAAATGCTTCATGCTGCACCCTGTATATTTGTCAGTTGACTGATTCCTTGTACCAAGGAGAACTTAAGAGTCGTGTGAGGAGCGATGATCTGACCAATAGATGGCATTGACAACCTAGTCATTCATTCTATTTTATTAATTTTTTGGATTATTGTCATAATTTTCTCTCTTCAATTTTCTGGGAGTTTATCCATATTTATCTAATACATTCTTGCTTTGGTATGGCCAGTTTTACATTTTTGTGGTAAGGAAAAATATTAATTTTGAGGTGTCATGAAATTATCATTATGGCATCAGTAGCTGATCGTTAGTTCCCTTGCTGGGTCAGTAGTGTTTTCCTCTGCACTGAACGTAGGGGTGTTGTCAGTGTAGCAGCAACTGTCAGTGACTGCACTCACTGGATTAACTTGCTCTTTGCTCTTACATTTAAGGTTTGTTTATTTATAGTTTATCATGTTGAAAGTTCTTGTTGCTTAATTTTTTTTTTTTTTTTACCATTTCAAAGGGTCGTGCTGAGCCTATTGAGTCTTCTCGTTGCTATAAGTATTTTCTTGATAAATTTGGAACTTGAGTTCTTAATGTAGGAAATTCAGTTATTAAACTAGCAAAACTTTGTTTCTACTCTAAATCTGTTTTAGAACTATTGCCCCCCCCCCCAAAAAAAAAAAAAAAATTAAGCCTACACCTGCTTAACAATCTTTTCATAAAGAATATGCACCTTTATCTTGCCACCCCAAAACGTGCACAGCTATCTTCTCAAATGGGCGGTGTAATCCACATCGCCACAAACAAAGATTTGTAACCTCCCTCCTCAGAGGTTCCTAGATGCTGGTGAGGCACTCTTGATCTAGAAAATTGCATCTACGCTTCGGTTCACTTAATTGAACCGAAATACCTTCAATCTCCCTCCCACATAGCTGTATAATCCCACGGGTTTAGCTCTAACCATGATTATAATTTTAATTTCCCGCTCAAATTGCTTTGCCTGAAGTCCGAGGTTCTCCTAACCCGACAGTAACTTTAGGTTAATATTCCTCTTGGTTAACTTCATTCTCCCAAACCAATAAGCCTAACGTCTATTTTTTCCTAGGATTAAAGATGCCTCTGGACTTTTATTATACTTCATCTTGTGCTCACTGTCGGTCTGTGATGCTGACAGCTAAGGCGCTCGAACTAGAACTTAATCTGAAGCATGTTGATCTCGGGATGAAAGAACAATTTAAGCCTGAATTCTTGGAGCTGAACCCTCAGCATTGCGTCCCAACTCTAGATGACAATGGCTTCGTTCTCTGGGAGAGGTGGGTAATTTACGGATTTATGCCATAGCATTTTGTGATCACCATAACCTAAACTGGACTAGTGAAAAAAAAACTTCCTCCCTTCCCCCCCTACAGCCGTGCCATCTGCACCTACCTTGTTTCAAAATATGGGAAGGATGACTCCTTGTGTCCAAAGGAACCAAGAACCCGCGCTTTGTTGGACCGTCTCATGTACTTTGATATAGACAAACTTTTCCAACGCTTTGGCAAGTATGTGGTAAGTGTCTGTGGCTTAAATAACAGTACTGCAAGAGGCACTAAATTCTTTAGTATTTGACCCAAAAATTTACATAGCAACCTTTAAGTGCCTTCTATTTTCCTCCAGTACCCAGTCCTCTTCGAGGGACAGGAACCGGACGAGGAACAAATTCCTTGCATTGATGAAGCTCTAGGCTGGCTAGACCAATTTTTGACCGGACAGATTGGGGCAGTCTCTCCAAAGATCACCATTGCAGACCATATCCTCGTGGCAACGGTGTCTACCATAGAATCTGTAGGAATAGATTTTACCCATCACAAGAACTTGTGCAACTGGCTACAAAAGTGCAAATCAAATATTCCAGGTTATGCAGAGATCAATGAACCTGGAGCCAGAGAAGTTGGAGAAATATTTAAAGCCAAGTTGGCCTCTAAGGAAGCTGAAATTGATAAAGCTTAATTATAAGATAATTAAATTAGAATAGTTCAATAAACTTTTTGCAGAGACTTTGCTTAAATATCTCCCTCGGTTATGTAACAAATTACTAAATTTTGTGCTAGTAGGATTTTCTTAATGTGCAGGACCCCTCAAGGTTCTTTAACACAATTGAGGGGCTCTTTATCTAGGGAATTGGATCAGTGCTCCAGTTCCGTGAATTGAGCCTGAAAACCTTCAATTACTTCCCCTCACACGTGCCGTCTAATCCTGCTGGTTTAGCGCACCCAATGATTATAATTACTTTATTCCACACCTTATTCCATACCTTTATTCCACACAAATTTACAGATTCAATAAAAGCCCTAACATTAGTGTTTTATATCCCTCCGAAAAATCCTGCACCCACCTCCTCCCATACAGTTCCTTATGACACATCGTGCAGTAAACAGTTACCGCTAATACCCGCCACCGCACCTCGCAAACCCCCCGCCCCCCTAGTTGCCAGGATATTATATATATATATATATATATATATATATATATATATATAAAATCCACCATGATATAATCCAAAGCTCTCACAGCACCCTCCTCTTCAAGGGGAATCTCCTTGGCATTGTGAAGCTCTTGGTCTGAGGAATTAGACCTGTCTGTCTTTCCTCAGACCGAACCTAATTACCCCCCCAATCCCCATTCCCTATCCCATCCTCCCCTTTTTCCTTTCCTCTGCCTCCCCACCCTTCCCTTTTGCCCTTCCTTTTTGGCCTTTGGGATTTTTTTTTCTTCCCACAGGCACTCTGGTTCCTAGGTAGGGGAAAGGGTACCGGGGTCCATTCCATTGAGGTTCTTGGCGGTGGCATAGTTTGCCATGGAATCTGGATTGCCTGGGGATGTCTCGATCCCTCTCCGGTATCCCGGAGGGTGGCTTTGGGTGTCTCTCGGGGTGACGGGTGTATCTCTGGAAGGCACCTTTCGGATTCCAGGGGTGGTGGCCGAATGAGGTATGCTTTGTGGTGGATTTCCAGCCGCCCTCTTTTGTCCACCGAGGTGGCTCGGCAGATGTGAGGTTGCTATCCCGGATTGCCGGTTTACTGGCATGATGAGTAGGGTATGGCAAGAGTTCCATGCTGCATCTGCACTACTTGTGGTGCTAAGGTCCTCTTGGGCACAGAGGGAGATTTCTGGCCCTTTCATTCCTCCTAGGAAATATCCTTCCCCGGTCCCCCCCCTTTTTTTTTTTTTTTTTTTTTTTTTTTTTTTTTTTTTCTCTTAAACAAAAAACCTAACCATGGCAGCCCTAGTCCATGAAACTGCTACCCCCGGGCCCTTTCTTGATACTGCACCCCGTTCTGACCCCGCCTCGTGTTTTGGACCAGTCTTCGGACACTCCTCATGCCTCTGTACCTCTTGTCGGTGCTGTTTCCTCACCCGCTTCAGGTACTGAGGCCTCGACTGACTACTTCGATTTATCTGACCTTTGCTCTCCTCTGACTATGCTTCCGGCCTCTCCCTCTACGGTGCGGCAATTTTCGAATCACCGACCCGTTCCACGTCGAACCAACTCTGGTCCCACGCCTGAACGCCAACGACAATTACCTGCTGATGATACTTCTCCACCTTCTCTTTCTTCTCGGAAAAAATCGACACATCCTTCACTACCTTTCCACGCTCGGTTTCAGACTGCACAATGGACTAAATTCTTCACTTTACGACAGACTTCCTCTACTGCCTATCTTTCTGACCAGTATTGGCAAGGCACTCCTACACCATGTTGAAGATATTTCTTTTCATGCTCTTAAGAGCGGTACGCACATCACCGTACAGAATGCTACCTAGGCTCATGAGCTTTCTCGTCTTTCCCATATCGATACTGTTCCTGTCACTATTGAAAAACATCATTCCCTCAATTCTTGTAATGGTAGTCATTCTGCCCCATACCATAGTTCAACAAAATTTCCAGACATGTGGCACTGACATTCTTGAACAGCTGTAACTCCAAGATCTCCCAATCCTCAAGGTAGACACTTATGTTTTTCCTGCCCGCTGGAGGAGATGATACCCTAGGAATGTGGCTCGTTTAACTTTTGACAGCCGTGAACTCCCATCCTTAGTTTATGTAGCAGGACATCGGTTACAAGTTCGAAAGGCGATCCCTACACTGCAACAGTGTAGAAATTGCTGGCGATTTGGCCATCCAGCGAAATATTGTAGATCTATCGCCGAATGTCTGGTCTGTGGTGCCCATGACCATTCTAATGTCTTGCAATCGACCTCCCTCTTGCCTTAATTGTCATGAGGCTCGCCCTTCGTACTCTCGCCGTTGTCAAGGCTACTTAAACGAGCGGGAAATCGGTTACCTCAGAGGCAGAAGGTCTCCCTTTTGCCATGGCAGTTTCTCATCTCCGCCTCCAAGGGAGACTCTCTTGTTTCTTATTCCCGAGATACAAAACATCCCCCCACTTCTGGGATCCAATCTTCTGCAACCACCTCTGTGGTTACCTCTCCCATAGTCACTCCTGTACCTAATTCTTTTGCTGTCCTAGGCTCAGACGTCCCTACTTCAACGCCTGTCTGATCTCGCTTCGTGTTCTCCCTCACAAGCCTCAGTAGCGACGAGATCTCGTATGACACTTCCTCCTAATCGTCCCTCTACTTCTCAAAAGCAAATAAAAAAAGATCCGTTAACACCTCCTACCCATCTTCCACCTCATTTTACCTTCTGTCTCTGTACCTGGTTCTTCCCTTCCCTTCTCACTGGCTCTGTTACAAGTGTAGAGGTTCACCCTCCTCGTTACTGTACCTTCCTCCCCAGTTCCCTCCCTCCCTCCCAAGTTTCTTCCTCTTCTGCCACCTCCCAGGTTTATGCCCCTTCTGTCCCCTTCCACGTTTCTCCAGTTCCCTCCACCCTTTTCCCCCCCCCCTACCTTGGTACAGTCCATTACAGTTCCAATCTTTACTCATCCTCCACCTACCATTTCCAATATTGTCTCCCATACGACATCTCTGAATTCCGAAGTCCTCTTCAAGGGGGGCTCCTTGGCGTGGTGAAGAGGCTCTTGGTCTGAGGAATTAGACCTATCGGTCTTCCTCAGACCGAACCTAATTACCCCCCAATCTCCCCTCCCCTATCCCATCCTCCCCATCCTCCCCTTTTTCCTTTCCTCCTCCTCCTCCCCACTCCTCCCTTTTGGGCCCCTTTCCCCTTTTTGTCCTTTGGGATTTCTCCCACAGGCGCGCTAGTTCCTGGGTAGGAGAAAGGATACCGGGGTCCATCCCATTCCGTTGAGGTTCTTAGCGGTGGCGTAGTTTGGGCCCTGGAACTGGATCGCCTGGGGATGTCCCGATCCCTCTCCGGTATCCCGGATAGCTTTGGGTGTCTTTCGGGCGACGAGTGTATCTCTGGAAGCCACCTTTCGGATTCCGAGGGTGGTGGCCGAAGGAGGTATGCTTTGTGGCGGATATCCGGCTGCCCTCTTTTGTCCACCGAGGTAGCTCGGCAGATGTGAGGTTGCTATCCCGGATTGTTAGTTTACTAGCATGATGGGTTTGGGTATGGCACGGGTTCCATGCTGCATCTGCGCTACTTGCGGTGCTGAGGTCCTCTTGGGCGTGGAGGGAGATTTCTGGCCCTTTCATTCCTCCTAGGAACTATCCCTCCCCGGTCCCCCCTTTTTTTTTTCTTTATTTTTTTTTTTCTTTTTTTTCTAAAAACAAAAAGAATGTAGTACCTAACATGGCGCCTAGTCCATGAACCGGGTACCCCGGGCCCCTTGTATTGTTACGCAACCGTTCTGACCCCGCTGTCTTTGGCGGACCACTCTTTCAGAATTCCTCATGCTCGTACCTATTTGCGGTGTGTTTCCTCACCGCTTCTGGTTACTGAGGCTCGACTGACTCTTTTGATTTATAGGACCTTCGCTTCTTCCTCTGACTATGCTTCGGCCTATCCCTTTCGTGCGGCAATTTTCAATAATTGCCGGACCCGTTCCACGTCGGACCAACTCTGGTCCCACGGCCTAAAACGTCAACGAAATTACCTGCTGATATACTTCCTCCACCTTCACTTCTCGTCTCCTCTCAGAAACCGATCAAAACGTCTTCATACTCTTTCACGTCAGTTTCAGAATGAAAGTGGACTTAATTCTTTCACTTTTCGACACTTCCTCTACTTGCTATCTTTTGAACATCAGTATTGCAAGGCATCTACGCCATGTTGGTTTAAGATATTTCTCTTTCATTGCTCTTAGGAGCGGTACGTCGCGCACATCCATCATTACCGTACAGAATGTACCCAGGCTCGTAGCGCTCTCGTCTTTCCATATAGATTACTGTTCCTGTCACCCTTGAAAAACATCATTCCTCAATTCTTGTAGTGGTACCGTCATTTGCCCCATACCATAGTTCAACAAATTTCCAGACATGTGGCACCGAATTCTAGAACGTGGAACTCCAAGATTCCAATCCTCAAGGTAGAACTTACGTTCTTCCTGCCTTGTGGGCGGAGCGATACCCTAGCAATGTGGCTTTCCCTTTATCTTTTGACAGTCCGAGCAAATACAGCCTCAGTTATATAGTGGACAGCGGTTACAAGTTGAAAGGTGATTCCCTAACACACAACAGTGTAGAAATTGCTGGCGATTGGCCATCCAGCGAAAAATATTGCAGATCTATCGGCCGGAATGCCCAGTCTGTGGTGCCGATGACAATTCTATTACGTCTTGCTAATCCGATCTCCCTCTTGCCTTAACTGTTCATGAGGCTCACTCTTCGTACTCTAGCCTTTGGAGGTCCTATTTAAACGAGCGGGTAATCCGTTATCTCACAAAGAGGGACAGAAGGTCTCCTTATGCCATGGCAGTTTTCATCTCGCCTCCAAGGGAGATTCCCAAGTGTTTCTTATTCCGTGTTTCAAAACGTCCCCCACTTTGGTACTCCCAATCTTCTCACCCACCTTGTGGGTACCGCTTCCCATAATCACTCCTGGTATCTAATCCTTTTGCTGTTCCTCGGCTTCAGGGCGTCCCTACTACAAGCCTCAGTCGTATCTCGCTTCTTCGAGTTCTCTC